CTTTCACCCAACAACGGCAACCGCCTCACGAAACGCTATGTTGTAGCGTTAATAAACGAAACAATTTAACTAAATTGCTAGTCAAATACCAATACCACAGGTACCATTTTTTTTAAAGCAATATTTTAGTGGCCGAGCGGGCAAGTGGAAAGTACATTATGCTGGCCCGGGGTGTCTAAATAGTGCTTCCGGGCCAGCGGGCAATTTATAATGCAGAGCCCTGGAAGCTGAATTGGTTGCCTGCACACAATGAAAAGATGAAATACCTACAGTAGTGCAGCTCCTTTAAATGTACTATCTGTGTCCATTATTCAGACAAACCTTTGTGCTTCTTAGAAATGATCCATGAATCAACACAAGGTTCCAAAACAAAATCACGCTACAGTAAGAGACAGCTACCAAAGGTTGACAAGCAGATTATTACGCTTTGGTCCCATCTGCTCTAGGTGCGTTAAATGATTAACATGTGAAATGCAATGTTATCAACCAAACAAAAGCATTTACATTACATTGCATTTAGCTGACACTTTTATCCAAAGCGACTTACAATAAGTGCATTCAACCAAGAAGATACAAACTTGAAGAAAACAGAATCATATAAGTACATCAGGTTTCATAGAGCTAAAACATTTCAAGTGCTACTCAACTGGCTTTAGATAAGCCAGTTCTTTATTAGTATATAAGTGCTTTGCTAGTATAGCATCACCTGGGATATTCCCTCTGAAGACAGCCTGGCCTGGTTGTAGAAAATACGTCCGAAGTGATCTCTGTCTGGGAAGACTTCGGCCTGTCTCGGAAGATTGGCTCCTCCCGAATCCACTAAAGGAGTAAAAAACGTTGGAATATTTAAAGAACTCAGTAATTCTTATTTAAATTGGTTATTTTTCTTTTTTAACAGACACACTGTATTCCTCATAGAATAAACTGGTACATGTATTGTGTCCCTTTTGTAAGTCTATGTTTCTTGTTTTACCAAACCTTTTCAACTTACCTAAGTAAATGCATGGCAGGTTGTTTTGCTGTGCGATCTCTTGTGCACGGAGGTGTTTCTTCACTGTAACAGGGAAGTATGTCCCGCCTTTGACAGTAGCATCATTCGCAACTATAACACATTCCACCCTGTGAGAAAAAATTGTGATATTGAAATGTGTGCTGCACCTGGAGTACTCAAGGAGAATATCATTGGAAATTATCCAAATAGCTAATTACAAATCACAAAGATTAAATTAACACCCCATGTAATTATCATAGACTTAACATTTTGAATATTTTGCATCTAGTTAAGAAGGTTTAATATGCATTTAATAGACAGAGTGGCTTAAAATGTGTTTTTAATAGGAAAATCTGCTCATTCACGATGCTTACCCCGAAACACGCCCAATCCCAGTTAGTATACCGCCTGCTGGGACTTCCTCTTTTCCATACAATTCATATGCGGCAAACTGAGAGAACTCCAAGAAAGGGGTCCTGCAAAATAAAACAACAAAACATGCAATGAAGGCTTGCAATTAAAAGTGTTCTTTAAAGGTGACCTATCATGCAAAACGCACTTTTGTACGTCTTTTATACATGAATATGTGTCCCCGGTGTTCCAGGGAACTCACCAAGTGTCAGAAAACACAACCCTCTCTATTTTCCTCCATACCCAAATCTCTTAAAAAGGGGCTGCAACGGATCTGATACAGACTGATCCAGATTTGAACACTTCTATGACTTCACAGAAGTGGCCCCAAGGCTATTGGGCCAACTCCACCAATCAGGAGGAGACAGCCACGGACATTGCCGTTCGAAAGCGCTGGAGACGCTGTAGTACATATGCCAGGCCTGTAGATGGTGCTGTTCTCACAGAATCAGCCCATGACAAAGACAGTGTTAAATTGAGCGAAATGAGGAATGGCTAAAATGCATGATCTGTTTGGTATTTTGAAAAATAAAAAGTATAAATATGCCTTATATAGGTATGGTCCTACACTATATTATTCAAATATAGCATGATAGGTCCACTTTAAGTTAAATTGACAATGTTCTTTTAGATTGAAAGCAGGATGTCTCCTGTGGTGGAGGGTTATATTAGGGGTCTATGGATGACTGTAGGATAACAGAAATGCTTTCCTCACTCCTCTGCTCTCAGAGGAAAGGGCAGATTGAAGTGCTGCACACGTTAGAACTACCTGTGCAATGGTTTGTGTGATGACGTCACACCAGAGCACATATTTGTGATATGAGTCAGCGATGGATTTAAAATCAAAGATCAAATTAGAAGATACTGTACCCAGGATCCAGCAGTCTGTCGATACGCTCTCTGGGCAGAAGTTTCCCACGAGAAGTATGAAGTCTTCTGGCTTTTTCTCCCCCACCTGGTTACACCAAAATAAACAGAATGCTTTGGTGTTTTTATGTCATGTGTCCAAGTGTAGATAGTAACCTAAACCACAATCTTATACCCTCGACAATTAAAATAAGATAGGACCAAGTATGTTTGTACTACTTTACACTATAGGGCTGCTCGATTATGGCAAAAATCATAATCACGATTATTAAAAACATTTACTTTGAAAACATCAATTTATTGGAGAAAACATTTTTAACAGTACGTTTTTAACAGTTGATTACCCTGAACTTTAAGTATAATTCAACTGAAAAAATTAATAAAAAAAAAAAATTAATTAATAATAATAANCAAAAAAAACTCCTTTTTACGCAGCGGTCCAGACATAGACATCAAACGGCAAAACATATTCAGTGTGCAGTTCCTTTGGCTTTAGGGCAGGGATATCTAGACACTTTCCAAGGTTTTACATAATTAATTGTGCTACTTTTAAATCAAGCAACGATGTTTTCAAATCTGTAATCAAAGAGGTCCGCAAAAACACTATCGACCAATCAGATTGCTTGATTTGACTTGTCAGTTTTATAAATATATTTGCATTTCTTCAGTTACGAAACAAACTTACAAAGCCTAAGATGGAAACATTTAAGATTAACTTCGACATCCGGGGGGGTCTTACTATGGAGGAGTGGATTGAGCAGTGCCTATCTCAAGAAAGCACCTAAACGACGACATGCAGAGCTACGTGAAGAGCAGGTAGACCAACTGGAAAAGTAGCACCATTCAAAAGCTTTCTGATGCGGGTCTTGAAACAAAGCAGAGAAATTATGACCGTTAGTGGCCACAGGCTGAGAAAGCTCTCTCCAGAGCTACTGGAAGCCCAATCTCTGGGACCGGAGAAAGTGGAGCAATATTCTCGCCACGCCAAGCAACAGCCTAGAACAACCTCAACCTATACAAGTGACCACGTAAGCCATGCTACTGATGCTGGACAGTTTTTCAGTGGCTGCACAATAAACAGCAACATACACATTAATGTAAATAAACAACCAAATAATGGATCAACGCTCTCTGTCCTGTCGTGAGCTATTGCTTAAGTATATCCTCAGCAGACCCAAACAATATTCTTGAGGTCAACAATAAAACAAACATCATGCTTATAAGCATGATGTTTGATTGTTGACCTCAAGAATAGTGTGTTAATTCAAGGTCCACTTAACTAGATTTTTCAGATCCTTCAACCATATACATTACATTCCTAAATGGACCTTGGGCTAAGGCTTTCTGTCTAAGATTTTTTTCATAGGCTACACACAGTGGTGTTAAGTACCCAAGTAGCTTTACTCAGGTATTGTACTTAAGTACAATTTTGACAGACTTTCACTTTACTTGAGGATGTAAATGTTGTGTTACTTTGTACTTCTACCACACTACAATTCAGAGGTTCATTGTGAACTTTTTCTCTACTACATGCATTTAAGGTCTTCAGTTATTATGCATATTTGAATTAAAGATGTGAAATATAATCAACACTTAAATAAGACTCTAGTCACACCTGAGTAAAACCACAAGCTACCCTGCAACATACAGAGGAATACAAAATTGATCCACCTTTACCACCTGTGATAAACACATGAATGCATCGAGAATTATACTCAAAACATATAATATATACTATAATAAAATGGGTAATTTGCATAATGAGGACTTTGAGTTTTGGTACTTTAAGTATATTTTTATGCCAATACTTGTGTCTTTACTTGAGTAAAGTTTTGATTGCAGGACTTTTACTTGTCAGCGTATTCCTACACTCTGGTAGTTCTACTTTGACTTGAGTACTTCTTCCGGCTCTGGCAACAACAGTGTTAATGCAACAAATGAAGGAGTACCAGACATTATATATAGAGCACATGTATTATTTATGCAAACAGCAGGTGGCGATATGGAGCTTAACTTCAAGTAACATCAACCACAGAAGAAAATCACTGCTAGGTTAGCTAGCAAGCTAGCAGTAACAAATTGCACGTTTAAATAGACGTGAACCTCAAAATGCTTTTACAGACAGTTAGGCCGTGGTTGTATCGTTGCAGGAGTCTACCTTTGGCCTGCACAAGGTCTTATCATGCCGAAACAGTTTCTCGACTCGGGTCTCAGCAGGATACACAGTCCTCTGAATATCAGGTAGGCTAGCCTGTTGCTAACGTACGCTAGACAAGCTTGAACTAAACTGGCTGCTAATGTCAACGTTAACTGTTAAAATAAATAGCTGACAGCTGTTGTACGACTACGGTAAGGTCGGCTAAAGTTAAAACGTATTAAGACTTTAGTTTACTTAGTTCCTAAACTGAGCACAAGCTATATGCCCACTGTTTACTGGCTACAAGAGGTCAAAACCTTGAGCTTCCATGGTACTCTGCTAAGGTCTTAGCATCATCACACTAAGTTAACCACGCAAGTTTATTTCTACTACTCAAGATGTACCTGCATTTCAGCAGCTAAACACAGCCTTCGCTCCAAATGTTTGACAACACTGTATGTCGAGTAGCAAATTCTGCAGGTTATTTTTTTCAACTAGCTCAGCATCTCTCCACGGGTAAACTCAAGTAATCAGGATTCCTGCAGATGATTATTTTTGCTCATGCAATACCAACCAAACCAAAACCTTTCATGTCTTGGAGTGTGTGTATGTATATATATATATATATATATATATACACACACACACAGACACAGATGATTTAGTATGGAATGAAACTTTTCACAACTGGGACTATATGTATAGTAAATCCAAGGTTGAGGTTAACATTGCTTGAGTGGCAACCAGCAGAGCTGTGGTACTCGGGGTATATGCAATAAACACGATAAGTGGAGAAATGAAATGCATAAAGGACAAAACATGCAATAAACAAACGAAAACTCTGAAATTGACAGTATCACCCTTTTAATGCTCAAGAGTTTTTGATGGAAGTTATAATGTAGTGAATCTAATAACAAGAAGCATCAGTGTAAATATTGGTTCACAGTGTCCCCTCTTGTGTAATCAACAACCAATTCATTCTCGCTGTGCAACGCCACAATATGTCACTGGATGGCACTATAGACACATTTTCTTTATATTTTCCAGTTTGGAAAATACTTTTGTTACAGAAAATATACAAAGCTATACATGTCTATAAGTTAATTGTTGAGAGGATAGTAAACATTTTTCATTTCAAATTGTCTAAGAGGTGACTTTAGCTGTTCCATTTTCAGTTAAAGGCACTTTATGGTGTATATAATTGTCTTTATACTTCAGCATAATTGGAGGAACAGATTAACTGTATCAGGTTTCTTTGTGGTATTTGGATCAAAATAAATATTCAATTTTCTGTGTTTTTGTCTTTAATGCTTCGTTGCTCTATACCTCGGCACTTAATGCAGCAGCAGCCGACCTTAAATCTATCACTCATGTCTTCATAAACTTGTTTGTTTTTCAGGAGAATTATGAGCGGATGAAAGTTCTCGTTGATGAACTGAAGAGCCGTACCGAGAAGGTTAAATTGGGTAGGTGTGGGAACATGGCGCTAAACATACACTACACTTTAATTAATCAGTTTGTGTTTTCATCAGCGCAAATTAGTTCAAGCCATCTGGTTGATGAAAGTGTTGACAAAACACATTTAATTACCCGTATCTCTTTTAATAAAACTGCTCCGGGACGGTCTGTTGATATTAAGGCTGCTGTCAAATCTGAATGTGCAAACTGAAAGTAATAAATGCTTCTTTATTAACTTGCCTCAATGAAAAAAGGGGTAAAAACTCTGTGTGAAAACATTGCCACTCACAATTTCATTTGCAGTAGATATTTCAATGCTGGTACGTATCTAATATTGAGTACATTGCAGTGTAACTACATTAGGTTCCATGACATCGGATACAGTAGAGTGTAAAGTAGGGCTGCTCAATTAATCGTATTTTAATCGCGATTACAAAATCAACGTAATCGAAACAAAACAATTTTTTTATTTATTATTATTATTAATTAATTTTTTTTTTTTATTAATTTTTTCAGTTGAATTATACTTAAAGTTCANGACTCGGAGGGATACTGACTTGTTGTGAAAAGTAACTTACAATTCTACCCATGGTATACGCTCAGTATATCACGGCTAAGAACCAATCAGATTGCTTGAATCAAGCAATCTGATTGGTTCTTAGCCGTGATATACTGAGCGTATACCATGGGTAGAATTGTAAGTTACTTTTCACAACAAGTCAGTATCCCTCCGAGTCTGAGAAAAACAGTATAACGTTGGGCTGAAAAGCAAACTGCCTGCTTCGCGTCGGGCCGAACCACGCCCCTTAGCTGTGATATAATGAGCATATACCACGGCCTGTCGTGAGCTATTGCTTAATTATAAAACGGACAAGTCAAATCAAGCAATCTGATTGGTTCTTAGCCGTGATATACTGAGCGTATACCATGGGTAGAATTGTAAGTTACTTTTCACAACAAGTCAGTATCCCTCCGCGTCTGAGAAAAANAGCCCGGCTTGGTGCGGGGAATCGACACTATATTACTCGTATATGGTGCCGGACAGCACTCGATAACGAATTAATATTTTGCCTGTTCAGTTTAGTTCGTTAGACTAACCAAGAATCGGCACTATATGACTCGCAAGCGGGGTTTACAAAAATTATGGCGCTATAGGCGTCGGGCCGTTTTTTGATAGCGAAGTTATTTTCTTTCAGTGTCCTCCTCATATTTCCTCCTCGACTGGTCCCTCGTTTCTCTTCGGCTCCAACACCCACAACAGCGAGTGAGACAAACTACCTGAACGATCAACCACCCGGTATCTAGCCACGACAAAGATAATCCAGAGCGAGACAGCCGACGACCATCCATGACAGTATACCGCGTCCAATACAAGACAACACCAGGAGGGCGGAACGACTGTGCCCAACTTTCTCAACAACGTAGCGAATACACACTACATATTTCCTAACGCCGCAAACCGCTTTGACAGTCGCCGCTTACTTCCCCGAATGGC